GCACCAATATCGCAACACAGCAATATGACACGAGTACAATTATTTGTCTGTCACAATCTTGAATTACTTATCTAGTGAAACCAACATCAGCTACCTTTCCCGTGGGCGTTGCTCAAGGAAACGAGAGTCAGGAAACATTCGGAGACTCAGCAGTTCTTCAAAAATCGACCGAGCAGCTAAACAAACAGGCGAGCAATTTTTCATCGGATTCTGAAAGAATCAGCACAGAAGGCAGAACTTTTAGTGGTCCTAATCAAAGGGTCTATTCATCAGAAATATCGAGCACCCAAGATTTTGCTGACATCGTGGGATTAATTTTTTATTTTTATTTTGCATCCAGCTGCTTTGAAATTCAGGCCTTTGGGTTTTCTTTTCACAACCCAAAAGCTGGGGGTTGAAAACAAAAGAACAGAAAGCTTACAATGCAGTTAAAAACTTTCAACTCACATTCTACACCCTTTTTCTGTAATTTAACAATTCTAACTTTTATTTCTGATTGTAGTAATAGGTAGGTATGCCTGAGAAATTAGATTTCTGTGAATCCTGATCTGAATTATTATATGTTGTTGTTGTTGTTGTTGTTGTTATTATTATTATTATTATTATTATTATTATTATTACATTATATCCCACTTTTCGAGGGACGCGGGTGGTGCTGTGGGTTAAACCACAGAGCCTAGGGCTTGCCGATCAGAAGGTTGGCGGTTCGAAACCCTGCGACGGGGTGAGGTCCTGTTGCTCGGTCCCTGCTCCTGCCAACCTAGCAGTTTGAAACCACGTCAAAGTGCCAAAACACCCACCCACCTCACTCACACACGAAAACAAAGATCACCACAGCCAATCACAAGCAGACAATCACACCCTAGGCCAACCCCAACCTCTCTCACCACGAAAGGAACACAAGTGAACAACACAAGCAACGCTGACACCAAACTCTACATACATTAAACATAATAGAAACACCGCCACCCGACCCCACCCCCATCCCACTTCCCTCTCGCCACCCCCCGCTCAATGTTCCTTTTTTTTTTTCTCTTCTCCCCCCCTAATGCCTCAACAAATGAAATGGATTTGTAAAAATGTTACATGAAAAAAATATATATACGAGGCAGTACACTTACTTCTGTAAAACAAGAAAATCCTTAATAAAATATTTAATAAAAAAAAAAAGTGCAAGTAGACAAATAGGTACCGTTCGGGTGGGAAGGTAAACAGTGTGTGTGCTTCATAACTGAGTGGAGATTTGAACTATGGTCTCCCAAGTCTTAGTCCAGCAATATACTGTAACCATTACACCACATTGGATCAATTGGCCTGATTCTAAACTCCTGTTCAGGGGTCAGCAAACGCTTTCAGCAGGGGGCTGGTCCACTGTCCCTCAGACCTTGTGGGGGGCCGGAATATATTTTGGGGAAAAAATGAATGAATTCCTGTGCCCCACAAATAACCCAGAGGTGCATTTTAAATAAAAGGACACATTCTACTCATGTAAAAACACGCTGATTCCTGGACTGCCTGTGGGCTGGATTTAGAAGGTGATTGGGCCGGATCTGGCCCATGGGCCTTAGTTTGCCTACTCATGTCCTATATCATGTACAGTGGTACCTCGGGTTACATACGCTTCAGGTTACAGACTCCGCTAATCCAGAAATAGTACCTCAGGTTAAGAACTTTGCTTCAGGATGAGAACAGAAATCGCACGGCAGCGGTGCAGCAGCAGTGGGAGGCCCCATTAGCTAAAGTGGTGTCTCAGGTTAAGAACAGTTTCAGGTTAAGAACGGACCTCCGGAACGAATAAAGTACGTAACCAGAGGTACCACTGTAATGGATATGAATTCGGGGCTAGAGAAAAGAAAGTACCTCTTTGTGCAGCGCTTAGTTCAACTATGGAACTCATTCCTATATGGAACAGTGAGGGCCACCCACCTGAATGGCTTTAAAAGAGGATTGGGCAAATCTATGCAGGACAATTAGGCATGATGGCTATATTGCACCTCCACAGTTAAAGGCAGTAATCCTTCTGCCTACCAGTTGAGGGCTCTTGTGCTTAGGCCCTCCTTGAGGGTTTCCCACAGGCATAGAGTTGGCCACTGTGAGAACAGGATGATAGACTCTACGGGTCATTGGATGATAGACTCTACAGGATGATAGACTCTACGGGTCAATCCAGCAGGTTCTCCTCATGTGCTTATGAATTCAACTATCCTTCCGATTTTGTGCTTCTCTGAATTTGGCAAGATCATTCGCAGCTCATGCTACAAAACCATTTTAGAAAGTGCCATTTACAATCAAAAGCATAAAGCATTCTGCTGTCTAGACCACGAAACTAGGGAGGAAAGTGCCCAGCACTTGACAAGATTCTATCAAGCCAACTTTGTCCCCTTTTGCAGCACCTTCGGAATTTGCTGAGATGCCACTCCCCACTTCACACCATGGAAAAAAGGGTGGTGAAATCGGGGAAGGCATTTTGGCTCAGCCCTGAGCCAAAATTGGCCCCAAGCTAGACCAATGGACTTTAGAGCCACATTTGTAGTGCTACAGCATGCACATCTGGCCAGAACACCTGAAAACCTATTACCTTCCCTGCTGTCTCTTCTGCTCCCCAGGAACACTGGAAAAAGGCATCAGCTAGGGCAGCCACTGCTGTGTTGAGCTCTTTCCAAAAGCCAATGTTTGGAGGAATAGCTTCCTTAGAGCCTGGGAGCAGGGGAGAAAGATAAAAAGACCGATCCGTGTCATCAGAATTCTTTGAATCCTCCAGATGTAGCCTCACCCAATATGGAAGCCCCTTTCCATTAGACACTCCCATCTGGAGATTCAGAGTTTTGTTCAGTTCACTGTTCCTTGCCACAATATTACACCTTTCTGCATGCAACCATCCAAGCCAGATGAGAGGTAGTTCAGGAGAGCCAAGCTCCAGACAGAATTTTTTAAGCTAGCTAAAGTTTGAACCACAATTTTGTCCAATTACTCATAGCAATCAAGCGATGAGACTCTTTTGAAGATTCAGTAAGCTAAACCCATCTTCAGCTCGCCCTTTTGGAAGCCTGTCTGCATTATTAGGCAGGGCTTGTGTGGTGCAACATGCAGATTTAGAAATAGGCAAAACCTTCAGCAGAGCATCTCATAAGCCAGGAACCCACACCTCCATTGTGCTATTGTTAGCATAAGGCACAAACAAGGAAGAGGCCAGACTCTCTCCTGTAATATGCACTGCAGATCCAGTTCTTGGAGCTGCTGTCTCTCTGCTTTCCTCTGCCATGATCCTGCGCAATGAAAGGTTAAGGAAGGAAGTGAAGAGACAAAAAAGATCTGCAAAAGGTATTTTTGTCCTTGCTTACAATATTACCCAAACAACAGAAGAAGACCGAGAAAGGAAGAACATTATTGGGGAAACTATCACAATGAAGGAAGTGTTGTGCCAAATACCTGCTACACAAACAGGATAAAAAAAAAAAAATCCCTGCACCCAATTATGCGGAAAGGATATCATTAGATCACAGGGTGTAGCAGCCTTCTTTGCATTTGACATGGCAATTGTCAGAATTTCATCATTATATTCCAGGCATTCAAATCAGCCTTCAGTACTATGAAGTACATGCTTTTGCATGCAGAAGATCCCTGTTTCACTCCATGACATATCTACAGTTAAAGGAAACCTGGTATCCTTTAGCTGTAGATATCATGGAGGGAACAAGGGACCATGTGAAAAAAAACCAAACACTGGGGATTGTTGGGAAAAATGGCAGCCCCATGTCAAGTTCTACTTCCCCTTGAATAAATGTCTGAACATCTTGGCAATACATAGAATCACACTCAGAAAGGACTCTGAGGGTCATCTAGTCCAACCCCCTGCAATGCAGGAATCTCAACTAAAGCATCCATGACAGATGGCTATCCAACCTCTGCTTATAAACCTCTAAGGAAGGAGAGTCCACAACCTCCTGAAGGAGACCATTCATTTCTTTCACTCCTATTTTTTATCATTGGGTAGAGGGGACAGAGAAATCCACATCAGAATGACATTAGGACAGGCAGTAATAATAATAATAATAATAATAATAATAATAATAATAATAATAATAATTATTCATTATTATGGTCAAAGACCAGTTCAAGAGGACAGGCAGTAAATAATTGAATTAGATCATGGGTAGGCAAACTAAGGCCCGGGGGCCTGATCCAGCCCAATCGCCTTCTTAATCCGGCCCGTAGATGGTCCAGGAATCAGTATGTTTTTACATGAGTAGAATGTGTCCTTTTATTTAAAATGCATCTCTGGGTTATTTGTGGGGCATAGGAATTCATTCATTATTTTTTTCCAAAATATAGTCCGCCCCCCCCCCCCCAAGGTCTGAGGGACAGTGGACCGGCCCACTGCTGAAAAAGTTTGCTGACCCCTGATCTAGATGTTTCAGAGCATGAATGTTGGCACAGGGCTGTCGTTTTCATTGCATTGCTAAATTCTGCCACCAGGTGGCAAGTATATATATAAAAAAGAACATGTCTGGCACTTTTGAATGCCTCTGTCAGTCAGAGTTGACAGTGCTGGGTTGGATGGTCTGACAGCTTCCTTCCACCTAACTATACCTGCTTTGATGTGTGCCATGGCATTCAGCAGCACCGTCACAAAACCCCCAGCACTCTCCAGGTGTGATGAAAGTATATACAGGAACCTGTTGGTGGCATCATAGTAGGAATCTCTGGCAAACTGAACCTCCGTAGGGCCTTGCTTGGGTACTGCTTGAGCCAAGAGGAGAACCAGCGCTGGCAAAGAGAAGGCTCTTCCCAGAAGGCGTGTGACAGTGCAGGCAAAGCGGTAAACCACAAAATGGCGAGGTGAAAGGCTGGTGAGATCAGTGGGGACCACAGCATCGACACAAGGTCCTGAAGAAAGGTGGCCATTATCTATGTTTTCTCCTGGAAAAAGGGGACAGAACAATGGAAAGTTGGCACTGAAAGTCATTCTATAGTCAAATACAGTGTTTCCCAAACTTGGGTCTCCAGCTGTTTTTGGACTACAACTCCCATCATTCCTAGGTATCAAGACCATTGTGGTCAGGGATGATGGGAACTGTAGTCTAAAAGCAGCTGGACACCCAGGTTTGGGAAACATGGGTCTAGGATCATGGATGAGGAACCTTTGGCCCTCCTGATGTTGCTGAACTACAGCTCCCATCAGCCCTAGCAAGAAAGGCCAATGGTTAGGGATGATGGGAGTTGTAGTTCATCAAACATCTGGAGAGCCAAAGGTCCTAAAGTCTAAAAATAGCATTATTCTGAAAGCATGTTCTTTATTCCTAATCACCTCAGTCCCTAAACAAAGCCTTATCCCTGTGTTTGTGAGATGAATAGGGATGTTTGTAAAATGAATAGGGATGTTTCAGGAGTTTTTCTTAAATGGTATATTTAGAAACATATATATCTCTGACAGTGAAGGCAGAGCATTGCCATCATGGCTAGCAGCCACTGACAGCCTTATCCTCCATGAATTTGTGTAATCTTCTTTTAAAGCCATCCAGAGTTGCTGGCCATCACTGCTTCCTATGGGAGAGAGTGTCATGTTCATTTATCTGTCCTGGGAACTTTCAACGTTCAGCTTCACTGGATGTCCACAAGCTGTAGCATCATGAGAAAGGAAGACAAGCTTTTCTCTATCCACTATATCTGTGCTGTGCATAATTTTATGGCTTCTATCACATCCGTTTCTTAATCATTTTAAACCAAAAAGTCCCAGATAGCATCTTAAGGGTTGGCTGCCAGAGACAGTCAGATATAATATAAACGGCCGCCAGCGTGCACATGAGATTTGCTTCATGTCTCCCCACACGTTTCCTGCTTAGGCCCCCATAGGTAAAGGTAAAGGGACCCCTGGCCATTAGGTCCAGTCGTAGCCGACTCTGGGGTTGCAGTGCTCATCTCGCTTTACTGGCCGAGGGAGCCAGCGTACAGCTTCCGGGTCATGTGGCCAGCATGACTAAGCAGCTTCTGGCGAACCAAAGCAGCGCACGGAAACACCGTTTACCTTCCCGCCAGAGTGGTACCTATTTATCTACTTGCATTTTGACATGCTTTTGAACTGCTAGGTTGGCAGGAGCAGGGACCGAGCAACGGGAGCTCACCCCGTCGTGGGGATTTGAATCACCGACCTTCTGACCGGCAAGTCCTAGGCTCGGTGGTTTAACCCACAATGCCACCCACATCCTTTTTAAACCCTGGAGATTTAAAGAGCAACCTCATCATTCTAAGATGGAACGAAGCAAAGCGGAGGAATCATCAAACCACTTTGATGATTTGCATGTGTTTCTATGCATCATTCCCACTTCCTCTCTGAGGCAATCCCAAGAAACACAGGGATGATGGGTATCAGAAGATGCAGGAATCAGCTCTATCACCTAGAGAAGGAGGCGAGTGCGGGGGCTGCTGGGATGTCTCCAAAAACTGCTTGATCTCGCCCAGGGTCTTGGCAAGGGGGGACGTCGCCATCAGGGCCTCTACTTCCAGCTCGCTTACGCAAGCAAGCATGCTGCTCTTGCAAGGCTGCAGGTCCAACCCTGACAAATACAGACAAGGCATATATCAGCTGAAGGTGCTGCTTATAGACTCAGAGAGACAAGGATGAGGATGATGACTTCATGCAGATTACTAAATTCATGCAGCGGGGAGGGGCTGTTATGTAACATACTGTCACAAGGGTCACTTGCATGGCCTGAAAAAATGACCTGCACATAACTGATGCTCTGAAGCTTGCAGACCGCATGCGGCTTATGTTTCCATCTAGTGGCAGCTCAGGAGAACTGCACCTCCCAACAACCGCAGACAGGGAGAAACTAGACGGGCGAGTAGGATTTCCTGTGGTTTTGTGTGTATTATTTTAAACTAAGCCGCTGCTCTCAAGATTCTGCACACTTTGAAAAGCGGTGTTTTCAGAAAGATTGTTAACCGTTTCCTCTCTTACCCTGATCTAAATTGCCCCTTCCTGCTGTTAACACATGCACTTGTTTTGTTCTCTGAAGCCAACAGCAGCTTCGGAGGAGCTTCAGCAGGGAAGGGGTATGGATGTTTAGGACACCAGCTTCAGTGCCGATGTTTACAAGAGTCCTTTGTGTCTGCAATTTTCACAGGAAGGAGGGGGGGAATCACCTTTCAGGGGAGCAAACGAGAGTCCCACCCAGCCACGCAAATTGCATGTGTGCACTGGGGTCATCGTGTGTACCTGGGAATGGACAGATATGTCAGTGGATTGGGTATGTGGATTAGAGAAAGGAGGTGGACTGGCTCTATTGACTTTTGTTTCAGGCCACAAACACATTACCCCAAAGGGAATGCAGCCCTCAAGGGAAGTGGGAGGTTCTCCTTCCCTGTTCTATAACCAGGTAAAAAGGCTGCACACATCCTTACCTTGGTCTTCACAGCCACGAGAGCTAAGTGAGGCCCGTTTCCCACCGGAGAGCACACGCTGTGTCAGGGAGCTAGTACCCTACACAGGAAATAATGTTCAAATATCACAGGAATGAGAGAGAGAGAGAGAGAGTGCCAAAGGGAGACCTTCATTCTTACCGGGCATCTTTGCTGAGTTCCAGCTTGCTCTTGGATAGCCAGGCCAGATCCACCAGCCCCATTGTGCCCCTGTGCCCCTTCTGGCTTCGCCGTCACCTTCCCAAAATGGATTTTTCGCAGCAAAATCCCCAGGACTTTCATTAACTCTGTTGCCTCCTGCCACTCAGAACCTAAAAGAATTCAGCAAGGCATTAATCACTTAATAAGGCTTCCTTAACAGCCTGTAAGCAGCTGTTTTCATGCCTCTTGGAGATTTGCTCATGAACACAGCTACATTCAGAGCAAAGAAGCAAGCTCCATGGGTCACCACAAGTGTCACAGTGAAATATCCATAAGAAAAGAGACCATTAAAAGGTACAAAGGAGAATTTTAAAAATGAAAAACACACCATTATTTGCTTTCACATTTTGGTCAATTCTAATAGGTGCCTGGCACTTGTAGAAAATCTCTTTTTTTAAAAAAGGCAGGGAAGTGTTCTGTTTTCCCAGCTCTCTCACCTGAGTAGCCCATTGCTTGCAAGACTCCAGAAAGTTTGATGGAGGAGCTCTCACTTTCTTGGGTCTCCTTGGCTGAACTGAAGGTGACCTGGGCTCTATCCCTGGCGACTGTGGACCTTTCCATGCCCTTCAATGCATCAGTATCCAGTGTCTGTACCAGATCCTACAAACAGAGATCAACAGCCTTAATGCTTTACTGATGTCTCAGATTTTATGACCTCGTCAAATTGCTTTTGCCTTCACTGGGGAACATTACATTGCTTAGGAAAATAGGAAGCTGCCTTATGGAAAGGTCAGACTACTGCCCATCAAACTTTTGAGTGACAGGGGCTTTCTAGGGTCTGAGGCAGAGAGAATGGCACTGGGCCCTGTAAACCAGGGATAAAGAACTTCAGTCTTTTTTTTTTTGCCAGGGGTGCTTGGCAAAAGTGGCCCTCCACTCCTCTCTATCTGGCCCTCGGGACTCTCCCCACACCACACCCCTTCCCAGCCAGCCACACCCTCTCTCCATAGGCCACACCCCTCAGGGGCCCTGCTTCATTTGTTGCTCCACCCACTTTATCTCTGATTCTGCCAGCCACTGCATGTGGCCCCCAGAAAGTGGCCCGGAAGAGACTGCTACCTTTGGATTGAAAAAGGTTCGCCAGCCCTGCTACAAACATTTCCTAGTGAGCTGCTCTGGAAATCTGAATCACTCATCTCCTTAACCAAGACTTTCCCTTGGTATGTCTCACCAAGCCTCACACCAGACCTACCCTGCCTCACCTCAGTAATCCAGTCTGCTGTTTTCCCCTGCCAGCCCATTCACGACTATGCCGCCTGTTCCTGGCCCACAAGCCCATTGCCACATGCCAGGGCCCAGATTTCATGGTGGCCTGTTTCAAGCCAGACCCCAGGCCTGACAGTCCCCTAATTCCCCATGCAGCCATCAGGGGGTCGCCTCCTTTCAGCTTCAAGCTTATTGCAATTTAGCCACATCAATGGCGCTCATAGGTGTGCATTAATGTATGCTAGGGCAGAAACATTTAATGAGGGCCAGAGATCTAAAACCTGCCAATGTTGAAGGACCTTGCCTGAGCGGACAGACTCAGGGACAACACCTCTTTGTTGCCCAGAAGTGTGAAATTTATTGCTATATTCTGCCCCAGTGGAGTTTTGGTACCTACATCTAGAATGGCCACCACCATGTGATTGGTCAAGAGTCATGATCTAGCTAATCTGGTCCATAGATGGGCAGGTGCATTATACCTATTAGTAACCCATTCAGGTGAGTGCAGTGCTCCAGTTCGTTGGAAATAAAGTGGGGTCAAAAGCAAATGAGCAAATATATTTCTACACATATGCTTCCCTCCTCACAGCACTGACCAAAAGACTCTGGATCTTCTGGCTGATGCCTCGGTAGAAGGCCAGGACATCTGCCCGGTGTTTTGCTAGCTGCGATGCCAAGTGAAGGTTCTGGTCCTCCAGCTTGTCATACAAAGTGCGGACGCTGAAATCTTCCAGGTCTTTTGTTGCAAACTGGTCGCCTGAAACAAAGGCAGCTTATCCATTTAATTGACTAAGACCTTAGGTATAAAGGAAAAAAAGCTTTGCGGTCCTTATATTGATTTATTTCTTTGTGGTGGGAAGGGAGAAAAAGAAGCTCAGAAATGGAGAGGCTCTTCTGGTAACTTTCCCTTATTATCGTCTTCAAAAATGGCATGGGATGAATGGTTGGGACAGAAGAATCCAGGTTCAAATCCATGCTCAGCCACATAGCTTGCTGGATATACTGGAACAATCTCTCTCTCTCCCCCCCTTCTCTCTCAGTCTAAACTACTGCACAGGAATTTCTGTGGTGAAACAACAACAACTGGATAGACTCCATGAAAAACCATCCTGATAAGAACATAGGGAAAACTCAGTTGGATCTGTACAAAGGCCCATTGAGTCCAGCTTCCTGTTCTTACAGCTCCTACCCAGATGCCTATAGGAAGACAAGAAGTAGGATCTGGGTGTAACCACCACCGGAATTCCCACTTGTGGTATTTAGAGGCCTCCT